GCTTTATTTATAGCTGTAAAACATTCTTTTTTTAAAACATAAAACTTTCAATTTAAAAAAGCAGATTCAAAACATTTTGCATAACTATTTTTGCTTGTATGCAGGCCAGTAAATAACAACACATTATTTTTTTTGTGAACTATGATTTTAACATAAACCATCTACTGCCAAAAAAGATAATTGCTCTTTAAGACGTCAGTCATGTCATGGAACATGTGTTAGCTGTGACGTCAGCGTTACTCACAACAAAGTATCACAAAACCAGCAACCCTGAGGGACAAACACAAGGCATGCACAGATGGGCTTGCTTTACCTCCACTGACAGACTGCCCAGGGTCCAGGAAATGTCTGAGTCCACATCCTGCTCCCTGCTATGCCTAAAAGAAAGACCAATTGCCACCACATTACTTTTACTTTTAGTATCCATGGTGAAACACAATAAGAGTACTGTTTCCAGTAAGAAACTGCAGGCAAAATCCACCTGTCAATTTTTTTAAATCTGGGCTTTTTGTCAAAAAAGCTATGGCTGTGTAAAAAAGGGTTTTGTGTGTTTTTTTTCTCTTAAGTCTAATGTGAAAAAACATTTAAAATACACTAGGGATTTAGGCCTATATTTAAATTAAAACACACTATCGATCAAAAGTGTGGGTTTAGTAGGATTTTTAAATGTTTTAAAATAAGATTATCCTGCTCACTAAAGCTGCATTTATTTAATCAAAAATACAGTACATACTGTAAAATTGTGAAACGTTATTGCACTTTAAAATAACTGTTCAAAAACAGTTCATAATTGAATTTAATAACTTATTCTAGTGATTTTAAAGATGAAATTTCAGCTTCATTGCTCCAATCTATAGTCACATAATCCTTCAGAAATCACTCAAATATGTATTATTATTTTTATTATTATTATTATTAATAATAATAATAATAAAAGCAATAATGACTGGAGACATTATTAGAAGACATGGGATCAGCTTTCACTGCTATGCAGATGATACACAATTATAAATTTCAACTAAACCTGATGAGATGTGTGAACTTTCTAAGCTGACTGAGTTTATTAAAGATGTTAAAGACTGAATGACCAACAATTTTCTTCTCTTAAACTCATACAAAACAGAATTATTACTTATTGGGCCTAAATCCTGTTAACAGCAGATCTTGCAACTCAATCTACAATTAGAAGGATACAAAGTTAACGTTAGCGCTACTATAAAAGATCTGGGTTTCATATTAGACAGCAATTTAACTTTAAAAATCATATATCCCATGTCACAAAAACTGCCTTTCATCTGAGAAATATCGCTAAATTACGAAGTATGCTATCCATCTCAGATGCAGAAAAGCTAGTCCATGCTTTTATGACTTTTAGGCTGGATTACTGTAATGCTCTGTTTGCTGGCTGCCCAGCATCCTCTATTAACAAACTTCAATAAGTACAAAATGCAGCAGCCAGAGTTCTTACCAGGTCTAGAAAATATGATCATATAACCCCAATTTTATCCTCTATACACTGGCTGCCTGTTAAGTTTCGTATTCAATTTAAAATATTACTTCTTACCTATAAAGCTTTAAATAATCTAGCTCCTGTTTATCTAACCAACTTTCTGTCTCGCTACAATCCAACTCACTCTTTAAGATTTCAAAACTCAGGGCTTCTAGTAGTATCTAGAATAGCAAAGTCTAGTAAAGGAGGTTGAGTCTTCTCGTTTATGGCACTTAAACTCTGGAATAGCCTTCCTGATAACGTCAGAGGCTCAGACACACTCTCTCAGTTCAAAACTAGATTAAAGACCTATCTGTTTAGTAAAGCATACACTCAATGCATCACCTAGCGGGCTTCCACACAGGTTTCTGCATCTTGTTTATATAGACTATGAACAACAGCTACGCTGATTATTCTCTTTTTTTCTCATCCCGAGGCCCTCAGACTATGTGGAGTCACTGATTGGATCCAAGACCAGCGTCGAGATGATTCCAAGGTTTCCATATCCTGGACCAGGCTGTATGCTGAGAAGCTGCTGCACTGGCCATGGAGAAGTGGAGAACATGAGACTGAGTCCAGTGACGCTCCAGGGAGTCAACTGCAGCTCTGCACAAGATGTTTGGCCAGCGGAGAAATTAAAATGGTCGTGCCCAACTGAGTGTTTTTTCTCAAGGTTTTTTTTCTTCACTCGCCAATCGGTGAAGTTTTTTTTCCCTCTCCGCTGTCGCCTCTAGCTTGCATGGTTTGGGATCAGTAGAGTTACGCATCGATAAATTTGCTCCTCAGTGTTTAGACTCTCAGTAATGATTTTAAACCACACTGAACTGAGCTAAACTGAACTGAACTGAACTTTAACACTGAAAAAAAAACTGAACTACTCTGTTCCAATTTACTATGACCATTTATGTGAAGCTGCTTTGATACAATCTACATTGTAAAAGCGCTATACAAATAAAGGTGAATTGAATTTATTGAATTAATAATTTTATTTGAAACTACATCCAATAAAAAAGCAGTTATTTAAAATTTTATTAAATATATAATTTTTTTAAAATTACATTTAATAAACGCTGCCTTAATGAACAGAATAATTTCCTTAAAAAAAAAACATGAAAAAACAGACCCCAAACCTATTCACTGCAGCAACTTACAAACGCCAAGCTTAAGCATTTCATTCATGTCTGTATTATGAAGATTTTTTACTGAGAATCATATTTAATTTGGATGAATATACACAATATTTTATTTTTTCCATGTTTTCAGAATATTTCTGATCGAAGCTGAAATTCCCACTGAAATATAGGCCTAATATATCTATATTTAAAAAACGAAGGACGGCTTTATAACCTGACATCCAATTTTCTGATTCTTACTGTAAAAAATATCCGTAAATTAACAGTTTTCCTTATTTTGAGATTCAAGTTTTAATTTGTTTTATTTATGCTTTTTAATTGCATTATGAGGCCTTGATCTTTCTCCTGACAACTTTTAACCTTATAAAGTTGGAAAAAGTGACTTTGATGAACATCTTTAATAGTTTAAAGTAATATATTGTCTGGGTTGGTGTTGTATATTATGCTGCAAAAGCCTTTGCAATAAGTTGCCAGTACATTTTCTGTTATTTTACAGATTCATTTATTAATTTGTTCTTTATATTATTATCAAACAACTAAAATGTCAATAAAAGTCACTTTGTTGAAAAAACAGACCCCAAACCTATTCACTGCAGCAACTTACAAACGCCAAGCTTAAGCATTTCATTCATGTCTGTATTATGAAGATTTTTTACTGAGAATCATATTTAATTTGGATGAATATACACAATATTTTATTTTTTCCATGTTTTCAGAATATTTCTGATCGAAGCTGAAATTCCCACTGAAATATAGGCCTAATATATCTATATTTAAAAAACGAAGGACGGCTTTATAACCTGACATCCAATTTTCTGATTCTTACTGTAAAAAATATCCGTAAATTAACAGTTTTCCTTATTTTGAGATTCAAGTTTTAATTTGTTTTATTTATGCTTTTTAATTGCATTATGAGGCCTTGATCTTTCTCCTGACAACTTTTAACCTTATAAAGTTGGAAAAAGTGACTTTGATGAACATCTTTAATAGTTTAAAGTAATATATTGTCTGGGTTGGTGTTGTATATTATGCTGCAAAAGCCTTTGCAATAAGTTGCCAGTACATTTTCTGTTATTTTACAGATTCATTTATTAATTTGTTCTTTATATTATTATCAAACAACTAAAATGTCAATAAAAGTCACTTTGTTGAAAAAACAGACCCCAAACCTATTCACTGCAGCAACTTACAAACGCCAAGCTTAAGCATTTCATTCATGTCTGTATTATGAAGATTTTTTACTGAGAATCATATTTAATTTGGATGAATATACACAATATTTTATTTTTTCCATGTTTTCAGAATATTTCTGATCGAAGCTGAAATTCCCACTGAAATATAGGCCTAATATATCTATATTTAAAAAACGAAGGACGGCTTTATAACCTGACATCCAATTTTCTGATTCTTACTGTAAAAAATATCCGTAAATTAACAGTTTTCCTTATTTTGAGATTCAAGTTTTAATTTGTTTTATTTATGCTTTTTAATTGCATTATGAGGCCTTGATCTTTCTCCTGACAACTTTTAACCTTATAAAGTTGGAAAAAGTGACTTTGATGAACATCTTTAATAGTTTAAAGTAATATATTGTCTGGGTTGGTGTTGTATATTATGCTGCAAAAGCCTTTGCAATAAGTTGCCAGTACATTTTCTGTTATTTTACAGATTCATTTATTAATTTGTTCTTTATATTATTATCAAACAACTAAAATGTCAATAAAAGTCACTTTGTTGAAAAAACAGACCCCAAACCTATTCACTGCAGCAACTTACAAACGCCAAGCTTAAGCATTTCATTCATGTCTGTATTATGAAGATTTTTTACTGAGAATCATATTTAATTTGGATGAATATACACAATATTTTATTTTTTCCATGTTTTCCATTTATTAATTTGTTCTTCATATTATTATCAAACAACTAAAATGTCAATAAAAGTCACTTTGTTAAACTGTAGAAGTGAATTTTCAACATCAAAAGTCGACAAAGCAGAGATCAAGATTCCATTATGAAATTCACAACAGTAAATAGACACAATATGGAAACTGATTTTTTTTGTGTGAAAATATATATACAAACATGGTAAATGAGTAGGCTACATATTTAATAAAGTAATGCATCTGCAATCTGCATATTTAAATATACAATTTTTGAAATCTTGTAATCAATGTCATTAAAAGGATCTACAGTACAAGGCATGTGCAGTAGAGGGGAACTAGTTTTGTTTACATTGCTCATTTGCAATGTCTTGCCTTAAAATTTGACAAACCCATCTCACAGCATTTTAATCTCATTTCATTCGAAGCCAATAAATAAAAATTCCAGGTAAAATTGTAACCTGTACATTTATTGATCTTTTCAGCCTTGATGATGAAAACGTTCACCTGTGATGCAACGTAATTAGGCTATAGCAGAGATGGATAGGCTACTACAATAACTATCTTGCTCATGACAATGAAAAGCTAGGCTACATTATTATAGATGCTGACTGAAAAGTCACCAAGTCACAGAGGAAGGCGTGTCATCCTCTTATTGGAAACAAGTTCTCACAATAATGGGAGTGTCGACATTTTTTCAACCCTAAGAGCTGTATTTTAGCTTTCACCTGAGTTTAAGCTGATTTCATTGTTACTTTTTGTTACCTGTTTGTGACCACGTCGATCAACAGCGGGATTTACTTCACGCGGGTCGGTTTGGATGAAGTTAAGAGCGGGAAAAGACTCGCGAGTTCAGGATGTCTTCAGGCGCAGTACGCACGAAGTCAGCAGGTGAGTGCGAGACTACAGGAACAAATTCAGACAACTGTAGCCTAAATCAAAAGTAAAATAAATGGTTTCATTGATATTTGGTAACATGAAGAAGCTGTTTAAAAGTTTATGCACAACACGACGTTTAAAATAAACGTAAAGGTAAGCAGAAGTAGAAAATGAGAAGTTGAACGACAAAACACATTGATTGACAGGTTTTGGTGATGTGACGCGTCACGCACTCTATCTAAAGCTATAAACAAAAATGAGCTATTTTTTATTTATTATACCTAAAATGTTGGATTAATTGGGGTCCTAATTATATATATGGTTTAAAATGTAATCCATAGACCATTGGAATAATGGTGAACAGTTGCATGACTTTAGATGAAAAAGTTTTCCTTATGTCATACAGTGGGCTAAACTGAACTAAATTAAACCAACATAAATGCTTGTAATGTACATATATATATATATATATATATATATTTTTTTTTTTTTTTAATATATACATACAGTTGAATTATTAGCCCCCTGTTTATTTTTTCCCCAATTTCTGTTAAATGGAGAGAAGATTTTTTTCACCACATTTCTAAACATAATAGTTTTAATAACTCATTTCTGACTGATTTATTTTATCTTTCCCATGATTTGACTAGATATTTTTCAAGACACTTCTACATGGCTTAAAGTTTAAAGGCTTAACTAGATAGGTTAGGGTAATTCATTCATTCACTCATTTTCTTTTCGACTTAGTCCCTTTATTAATCCAATCACCACAGCGGAATGAACCGCCAACTTATCCAACACATGTTCTATGCAGCAGGTGCCCTTACAGCTGCATCCCATCTCTGGGAAATATCCATACATATTTATACACTACGGACAATTTAGCCTACCCAATTCACCTATACCACATGTCTTAGGACTGTGGGGGAAACCGGAGCACCCGGAGGAGACCCATGCGAACGCAGGGATAACATGCAAACTACACACAGAAACACATCTGACCCAGCCCAAACCAGCAACCATTTTGCTGTGAGGCGACAGCACTACCTACTGTACCACTGCGTCGCTAGTTTGGGGTAATTAGGCAAGTTATTGTATAACAATGGTTTGTTCTGTAAACTATCAGGATTTTTTTTTATTATTTAAAACTGCTTTTATTCCAGCTAAAATCAAACAAAGACATACTGACAGACAAACTGTGATAATTCCCTTGCTCTGTTGAACATAATTTGGGAAATATTTAAAAAGGGGAAACAAATTCAAAGGGAGCTAATAATTCTGATTTCAAAAATATATATACATACTACTGTGATGGAGTCATGGAAGGGTAAAGTGATGAGACACTGAAAAACGTTAAGATCATTTCAAGTTTATTATATATACTGAGGTTTTATTTTTCAGACAGACCGATAGATAGACTGATAAAAAGATAGACGGATAGACAGATTAATAGACGTGGGGTTTCTTGACAGGTAAATTATTTCAGCTATGAATGGAATTTGATGTTGAATTATCTTGGCTTTTGTACCCTCGGTTTGGCAGGAAATGAAAAAAATATATGCATTAAATATCAAAAAGTCTAGAGCAGTGTTTCTGTCAACTGTCTTTGAAATACAGTCTGAAGATTATCAGCACATTTAAATCCTGTCTATCCAGTTTGCATACCAAAAACGTCAATAACACACTGTATTGATTTGACTTCTTCAGCCAGAAGGCTCTATAATCTGATATGTTTTACATCTAGATTTATGAAGATAAAACAATGGCATAAGCTAAACCTATTAATAACATCCACCTCTGCACAATGGGCATAATGTGATGGGGAGTATTGCAGTTTTGAAAAAAATATTTCCATTTGTTTTCCTAGAACTCTTGACAATAACACAATCTACATACAATCATGCAGTTAGTGTTACTTCCTCCTTTTATCTTTTAGTATACATGTATAACAAGTCTATTTTAGTATTAGATGCAAATAAAACAGAATTAACATGGAGTAATACAACATATATAGATATACACTCACCGGCCACTTTATTAGGTACACCTGTCCAACTGCTCGTTAACGCAAATTTCTAATCAGCCAATCACATGGCAGCAGCTCAATTCATTTAGGCATGTAGACATGGTCAAAACGATCTGCTGCTGTTCGAACTAAGCATCAGAATGGGGAAGACAGGGGATTCAAGTGACTTTGAATGTGGCATAGTTGGTGCATAAACCACTAATATACTGGGATTTTCACACACAACCATCTCTAGGGTTCACAGAGAATGGTCCGAAAAAGAGAAAATATTGTTGTTGCCTTGTTGATCCCAGAGGTCAGAGGAGAATGGCCAGACTGGTTTAAGCTGATAGAAAGGCAACAGTAACTCAAATATCCACTCGTTACTACTGAGGTATCCAAAAGAGCATCTTTGAATGCACAACCTTGAGGCTACAGCAGCAGCAGACCACACTAAGTGCCACTCCTGTCAGCTAAGAACAGGAAACAGAGGCTACAATTTGTACCCATCGTCTGATGGCTGCTTCCAGCAGGATAACGCGTTATGTCATAAAGCGGGAATCATCTCCGACTGGTTTCTTGAACATGACAATGAGTTCTCTGTACTCAAATGGCCTCAACAGTCACCAGAACTCAATTCAATAGAGCACCTTTGGGATGTGGTGGAATGGGAGATTTGCATTATGAATTTGCAGCTGACAAATCTACAGCAACTGCAAGATGCTATTATGTCAATATAGACCAAAATCTCTGAGGAATATTTCCAGTATCTTGCCAAATCTATGCCACGAAGGAATAAGGCAGCTTTGAAGGCAAAAGGGTATCCAACCCGGTAGTAGCAAGATGTACCTAATAAAGTGGCCGGAGAGCATATGACATATATCTGATTGTGATTTCCAAGTAAGCTCTTAGTTCTAAAACATCTCAAATAATTAAACTAAAAATATACAAATTATACCCAACATACAGTAGAAAGAATCTTTAGTGAAATTGTCAAAAAGCAAACTTTAACAATGACTGAATAAGAGTATAAAAAAAAAACTTTCCTAAAAAAAAAAAACAAGAAAGAAACTCTGCAGCACATACTTTTAGCATTTACATTCCTAACAAAGTCTGTTTAATTCTTTAAATCAAACAACCATTTATTTGATAAACCCTAGACACAGATAAACACTAGATAGATTGACAGCATTTAAACTTAGTATGCAGTGATTATAACATATATAAAACCCATTATACAGTATCACGCTATTGTTCTAATGCATATTACCTTACTTGTAGCACTTTTAGACATCCTGAGACACTAATTAGAGTCTGAACATTTTAGTGCAGGGGTCACCAAACTCGGTCCTGGAGGGCTGGTGTCCCTGCAGAGTTTAGCTCCAACTTGCCTCAGCACACCTACCTCGAAGTTTCAAGGATACATAGTAATAGCTTGATTAGCTTATTCAAGTGTGTCAAATTAGAGTTGGAGTTAAACTCTGCAGGATTTCCACCAGGAATAACTCCGGTGACCAGTGCTTTAGTGTAACTGAAGTATTAGTTTTGTTTGTTGTTTTCCCTATTACTGAACTACCTCACAAAAGTCTTGTCACCTATGCAAGTTTTAGGAACAACAAATAATAACTTGACTTTTAGTAATCATTTGGTATCAGAAATTGGCTAATTTGAAAGGCAAATGCCTCTTGATTACGGTTATTTTACCAAAATAAAATAGGATCATGCTTTGATTTTTAACTATTTAATTAGGACAGTAAGGTCAGACTTAGCTCAGACAAAATTCTTGTTACGTAACAGAACTAATGTATAGTATAGAATTTAAAGTCATGGTGCAGTGGAACAATAATTCTTATTGTTTATGACTCCCATTAGCTTGGCAACTGCATCCATACATCTCTGCAATGACTCAAATAACTTATTAATAAAGTCATCTGGAATGGCAAAGAAAGAGTTCTTGCAGGACTCCCAGAGTTCATCAAGATTATTTGGATTCATTTTCAATGCTTCTTTCTTCATCTTACCCCAGACATGCTCAATAATGTTCACTTATGGTGACTGGGCTGGCCAATCCAGGAGCAGCTTGACGTTCTTTGCTTTTGGAAACTTTAATAGGCAGCACAAATGTCTTGATACCCTAACTAGAAGTCAAGTTATTATTTGTTGCTTTTGCAACTGGGATCATATGGGATTGTATGTGCCAAAACAAAAAAGTTTCAACACTGACAGCTATTTGAAAGTCATTTCGCATTATGACTAAATCCATAATAATTTAATTACAACAGTCAGTTGCACTGAGGTTAATGGCAAAGCTAATGCACAGCCAGGTATATTAGACGTTACATTTAGTATAATGTTTAAAAAGAGAATGTTAAGGTAGATAGAAAGAAAAAGAGATGATATGTGTGAGTTCCTGAATAAATAAAAGGCCAGACTGATTTGATAAAAGGGTGCCACTTTACATTAGATAGAATTACAGCCTCATGTACAAAGTTAGTAAAGCCTGTCTGCTTTTGTCTGGACAGTAAACCAGAAATTCATCAGTCTTATTCAAACACCCCCGCACATCCATTTAATCACTCTCAACAGCAAAGCATCTCAGTCTGTCCTATTACTTTAAACCAGCCTCAGACATTTTACGTTTCCTGTCCTTTCCATCTTTAAATCAAGTAAGACTTTTATCCCTTTTATAGAGCATGGACTTTTGCAGGACACAGCAAACTCCTATTGGACAGGACTTGAGTGCACATTTCAATATCTTTCAATTGTCCTTTTGTGTCGATCATTAATAAGTGTGTAATATAATATATGAGTTATTCTAAGTTGTACAATAAGGCAAAGTATTGTCTGTGTTTATTATTCTGAAATCACTTTGCATAAAACTGTCTGCAGAAGATTAAATGTAAATTTAATAATAATTCAGAAATCATTCTGTCTATAATTTTACAAGATAGTCAAATGATGTGGCATACACCATGGCATTTGCTTAAGCCTCTCAAACAATGCCTCTCTTATAAAAGTTAACACAAATATAGTAATGCTAGAATTTGGAAATGATACAGAACATAATCAAACATGAAAATATTGTAATTTTGCAGAATACTATTCATAGAGATTCAGACAATGCATTGAACAGTACGCATGAAACATGTTTGTAAATTATTGTACTTCCAACGAATGTAACCTACTATATAAATAGCTATTTTGATAATAACAAACCCCAGGGAAAAGCATTAGGCCATAAATGTGTATTCTGAACACAAACATGGTCCATTTTTATTTCATGTTGTCTGACACTCTAGTTTCACAGCAATACTGATCTTTTCCTAGTTACACCCTGCTATTGTGTTAGATGAAAACACTTTTTCTTTTCGTTCTGAAGAAAAGTTTTCTTTTGTTTTTTTTTCTTGGAAGGATGCTTTACAAGCATAGCAAGCACCTGAGTGGACGATACAAGAAGTCCAAACATCACTTTGTTTGGCTCCTCTGTCTTTGGATTCACCTTCTGCCTCAAGGTTAGTACAATATACTGCAGTCTTACCAACAAGAAAAGAAAGATAAAACTTGTGATATAAAGCAGCTTAGACGGGAATCATCTCACTGACATTTAAAGAGACCAGCACACTTTGTTTTTTTAGTATTTAGACAACAGCACATTTGCATGAAAAAATGAGCCAAAAACTAAAAAGTTTTATTATTTGCAACTTTGAGAAGTGTTTTGTTTATTCTTGATCACATTAATCCACAATAAATGGCATCATTTTCAATAACATTGAATGTTCATTTAGAAACCCACTTTTAACATTTTTTATACCCCCAAACTGCTTTTTTACTACAAAAGTAAATAGCCAAAATCAGCGCTGAATGGGTCATGATTTTCCCTCACAACTGAGCTCTTTTGAAAATTCAGTAAAAATTTGAAGTTGTAATTGTTTTTGCAAACACAAAATGAAAACTCTGTCGTTTAAGGACACAACAGTGTTGGGGGGTAATGCATTACAAGTAACGTGAGTTACGTAATAATATTACTTTTTCAAGTAACAAGTAATGTGTTACTTAAAAAAATTAAGTAATAATATTTGAGGTACTTTTTTAAAAATGTAATGTTACTTTTTAGTTTAATTAACTAGAATGCACTCAACGAGAAACATTTCAACGTTCAATAATCGATATACAGTACGGCATAGCTCTGGGTTCGGGAAGTTCTCAGAAGATAACATTATCTTAAATTATAACTTCTTTTTGTGTTTTTTTATGTAAATGAAGGTCCTACAGTGCATTGTTAATTGCAGAGCTCATCTATTGAAAAACAAAATGAAAAACCCTGCAAGTTCTGAAAAAAAATCAGGCCTCAGCAGAGGTAAGAAAAAGTAATGCAAAAGTAACTCAAAAGTAGCGTAATGCATTACTTACCATAAAAAGTAACTATTAACGAAACTAGTTACTTTTTGGGGAGTAACTCAATATTGTAATGCATTACTTTCAAAAGTAACTTTCCCCAACACTGGCCACTAATAATGGGAGTGCATATTTGGCAACATCACATCAGGGAAAGATGCTTACGGTAGAAGTGTTATTTGATGTGCAGGAACAACAGTGAGAACTTTTAACGTTTTTACTGTATCTACAAGGATGTGTAGGCCCGTTAGGCAGGAGGGTTCAGGTGGTTTGGAAGACCCAGCCCTCACTGACAAAGGTCCAGATTTTGTTCCATATGAGGTAATTTGCCCTATTTGACTGCTATGCCATCATGGTGAAAATAACCCACAAAAAAGGATTTAAGATCAAGCCGAATTCTCTATTGGCTGTCGCTTCAGCGTGACTTCAGCTAATCAGTTTTGGCCAGTGCTAACAAATATTTTTCATGTGTCCAACATCTAGCTGTGCAAGAAAACATACTGTTGAAGCCATTTTTTTTTTCTATTATTATGTTTGGACAGAACAGGTTAATTGGATTATTTGATGATTATTAAGGTCCAATCCCAATTCTATTTTTGTACCCCTACCCTTCCCCTTCCCCTTGGCCCTTAAAACCAAGTGTGAAGGGGAATGGCTTCAAAATGTACCCCCAAGAGTTGGGACAGCACTATAGCACCTGCACACGTCATCAGATGTCATCGCAATCTCTTGCTTCCTATGAGTTCAGGCGATGGCGATGACGATTATTTTTTGGTATTTTTCTTCAGGAAATCACTGAAGGCATATATAATGTTATCATAACGATATAATGTGGCAATAAGACCGTAACTGTACTGTGCATTTAAACAGTGGCCATGATTACATAAGTAATTACACAAAAAAACAACATTAACATTATACCAGACACTGTAAAAAGCTCATTCCCAGCCACTAGACATTACTGACAGGGTATTTGAGTGTAACCGAATGTTGTGGGACTGCTATATTGGAGTTATGATTATGGATTATAGATCGCGAAATTTAGCAGTTTTTATTTTAGCGGGTTATGAATTTAAAAAAACATGTGCTTGTTTGTTGCAAACATTCATAATAATGACAAAAATATACTAATTTGTAAATCTTTTTACTTCCGGGTGCTGCTTTCCTGCCACTGTGGCATGATGCCATTGTGTGCAATTTTTCTTACCCCTTGGTTTCGAGTGAGGTCCTGAAAAATCTTTGTTCAAAGGTTTATTTACCTCTTCCCTTTAGCCCTATACCTTCAAGCTAAAGAGAATTGGGACACACATACCCCTCACGAGTACGCGCAAAAGCGAGGGATAGGGGTAAGGGGAAGGACTATGGGGTAGAATTGTGCCTAGGCCTACAGTAAGTTTACATTTGAGTAATTATTGTATATTATTTAAGTTTAAGTATTTGCTTTTTGTATATTATTCGTTTTTGAATTTTGCTTTATTGTTTTGATTTTCAGACCGTGAGTTTGTATGTGGTGACGGGTGCTACTGATTAGCAATGAAGCTATTTCACTGATTTGACGGCACAAGACGTGACAAAAATTTAAAGATGAAAAAGGTTTCACTACGTACTCACGAACTCAGTTGCTTGCCCTTACTGAGATAGTGGCTTAGAGCAAAATGCAATATATACACACACAATACTCACAATCTGATGTAAGAGAAGTCTTCTTTTGCTACAGTATTGTTTTTAAATAGAGAAAATATTTTACAAGTAAGTTTTAATGCAAATCTTGGACCTTGTTCTTGAAACAAAAAAATTACCAATAAAAAGGTTTTAAGCACCAAAAGCAGCCCATATTAAAATTGCTTTGAATACTATTTTGGCTAAAATAGTCAAAACCTATGGTTTTGATGACCATCCTACAAGCTTATTCAGATTAGTGCCTCAAATGTCACTAAAATGCAGTATTCAAATTTCATAATTCAATAGAAATTGAGGCATATAATTACAAAAAAGATCCACTTTTTGAGGAAAAAAGAACCACTCCTTTCACCAGGCACTCCTTTCACCAGAAGATATGGTAAACTAATTCACTTTGTGGGAATTCAGCAATTGACTCTGGTTGGCCAAGAAAAAAATAGCCTAAGTTTTATCTATTTTGGATGGATTTTGAGTTGTTATTGGGCTGGAAAATCTTATTGGACCTAGGAACCCAGCCCAAAACAGATATAAAGTTTTTAGTTTTTAGTGTTTTTATGCAAACAGCATCTAAGATTGTTATATTTCTACTTGACAAATTATCTTTGCATAGATGCTTAGCTGTTTAAATCATTGCTATTTCTGCATGATGAAAGCACAGTGAGGGAAAGAAAGAGAGACTGCATTTGCCTAATTACTTGCCAACACTTCTGTACAAGTCTATAAAACTTGTTCAAGTAGTAAAATGATTAAAAGCATTGGAAGGATGCTGTAAATTGCAAACAGGAGAAACTGAGTCAGCTGTGCTGAAGAGTCACTCTATGCTGAAGAAAGCTCACTACATTTTAGAGGACAGTGTTTTATAATATCATTTTACATTCTGATCACGTTTGGTTCAGATTTAATATTAATTACTAATATTACCAGGAGAATTCACATACCCGGGGGGTGACTGGCTGAAGGAGAACAAGAGAAAGAGTAAATGAGATAATGTGGAGTCCAGTGCCCTGCAGCATGATGGTCCTCTTACCCTAATGAATTAATTAGTACTGATCACAGTGAGGACTAAGCGATTCAGACCATTTCTTTCCTCATTCCCCAAGAGAAAGCACTAACACAACACTTAGAGAGCAAAGGTTGAAAGTGTCTGATTGTGTTTCGAATCATAACAATGAGCACTAGATTTGGTGCCAGTATTTTCTTTCAAGTAATTAATGCTTGTATTCAGAGGGATTCATTAAAATGATCAAAAGCAACAGTAAAGACACTAATAAAGTTTCAAAATGGATTGTTTTTCTACTTTCACATCAAAGAATCTTGTTAAAAATGTATAACAGTTTCCACAAAAAATTTAGCATGCAGCACATCTGTTTTCAGCATTGATAATCACAAGAAAGTGAACAAGAGTCAGAATCTTTTAAAATAAATGTTATATTTGCCATCACCGAAATAAGTTATTTTTGTTTATGGTTAAAGCATAAGAGATTAAAGAATGTAAGATATGTCTCTCAAAAACATAAAATTAAGATTTCTTTTTTATTTTATTAGGAATTTTTCATTTAAAGAAAGCTTCATTAATGTCAATGCTTTATGATTCATACAAGTCAAAGGTAGAAGACTATACTGCTCAACTGCTGTAATGGAGAAAATAACTACAGTCCTATTCATTTAAAGCTGTTAGTTGCAGCTAGAAGCAATGTCAAGTTCACTGCCAAATTTGCATTATATATTTTGTGTTAATAATTTAAAATGCAAAAAGATAGAATCACCAAAGGTATATACAATCTATTACATCTTCAAAGATCACATGCTCTAACCACAACTCTGCTGCTATTTGGGGATTTCCGCCTGGATTTTGCCTACCCAAATTTAAAAGCTTCCCAAATCCACATAAAGAGGTGCAAATGCTAAAATTTGGTATCATTTTAAAGAAAACCCTTTGAATTTTCATAAAACACTATTGAAAGTGTTTATAATAACTGTATATGTCGTCTGTGTTATAATAAACACCTAAAAAAAGAGACGCTTTTTGTATTGATCAAACATAATTCACTGTGTTTGGACCACATCAAAAATATAAAAGGATTACTTATGCACATCACCTCAAAAACAGAGTAGAATGGCCCTGAAGGGCACAGCATAAGGTAAGAGATGACAGCTGTCTGTGCTATCTGGGGCTGCTTATTGATCATGAATGTATTGTTTTCACTTCTGCGCCATGGAAACACCACAATTCATTCAACAACTGTTTGGCATATGAATATAATTCAGTAAAAAGAATGCTAGAACTGTATGAGCAGCGTCAAGAGCTTTCATTTGAGCTATAACTTGTACATGTGTCATATAAAAAATATGAAAATGAACCAATGTAAAATACCTAGCTTGAGTATCCAAAATACTGTGTATTTAAGTGTAAATAACTTTTATGCAGTAGAATAAA